GAAAAGTTAAAATCTCTAAAATAAATCAACCGATTTTTTAAAAGCTTGCTGTCAGCTTTGCGCTGCTGTAGCTTTTTGCGCACAATTTTCATCTCRAAGCTCCAAAATTCATGATTCTAGTTGCACTTGAAAGATAAAACATATATCTACATCTTTGAGATTTTAAGTTTTCTCAAACTCAATGTGCAGATATGACTTATTCTGTGTCAAAGTCTGTAGATGGGTGCTGGACAGAAGCTACGTACTTTACTCCTTTCTTCCTAATTTCATAACGGTGTTCTCTCGTCTGTTCTTCATAGATTCAAGCTACGATTTTGATATATTATATGTCACTCCCTAATTTGATCTTAAAGTTTCAAGCTCTGAGCTTCAAAGTTTAGTGAATGAGGTTTGCAAAGACAAATGTTTGTTTTAACGACTGTTTTGCGCAGCTATGAGAAAACATGCACAACTCACTCAATTTTCATCCAAAATGGATGAATCAGAGATTGATGAAAAGCTAAGAGGCTGGAGTTCAATGTTTATGTTTTGTGTTTTGTCTCAATGAATCTGCTTGAGAGTCAAAAATAGTGATGAAGTTGACACATGAAAGTTGGACAGAAAGTTTAAAATTTCAGTTTTTCAACGACATATCGCAAACAGTGAGGGATTTAAGTTTGAGATTCTCAGCGTGCAGAGGAGTGTAGAGGACTTGATGATGGCAAACAGTGAGGGCTGTAGAGGACTCGATGATGGTTCATTTAAGTCGAGGGCTGTAGATCATTGCAATAATTGTGATCAAGCCTTACTTGATGGCATAAGCTGGAAACTATCAACTGTTTTCTTTCTATTTATGGTGTTATTAACACGCAATAACAATTGAACTCGAACATTAGAAGCATGTTAATAACACCATAAATAGAAAGAAAATAAGTTCAATAGGAATTCTGTAGTTAAAAACTAATTTTCTGTCTTTTTATTCCTAATTCATCAGCATACTGACAGATTTATGAAGCTGTAATAAATTGATCCTATCTCACTCATCAAGGAACCAATTGAGGCGATTCAAAAGGCCTTGGATAGAAAACAGATGGATTAAGAAGTTTCATGTTTTGATAATTCAAAGATTCAAACAGTAGAGGGGTCATATGCATCGTTGAAGTGGACAGCAGTGTGCTGATGCGAAACTATTGGACAGATTTGTGCGATTGCACTTATATTTTGGCAAATAGGTTCTTATTTTTTTCCGAGTGGACTAAGATCTTGGATATAATGCACTTCTATTTTAAGGGTATGGAAGTATGCAGAATTGATGGCAGTGTGATACTTGGAAGAGAGAAAGAAGACAAGTAAGTGTGGTTATGATAGCTCACAACACTTCCTTAAGTAGTTTGTTCAATCTTCATGCACAATCTGTTGGATTCAGTAGCCTCTTCTACAATGATAGTGATTTTAATGAACAAGATTATTAAGAATAAATAAAGTAAAATGTTATAATAGCATGTTTTTATGAACAAGATTATGTGAATACATTTGTTATATAACTAGCAGGTAACAGAAGAGACATAGCCCATTTATTGATCCTACATAATACTGGCTTATTTCACTAATCTTAAGCAGCATAGGAATAGCTATATATAAAGCTCTATTTATCTCCCTTTTTGTTTACAATCCTACTATTCCTAGTCTTTTTAATAGCTAATACTCAAACTTACAAAACAACCATTCTGCAAGATGCAGAACCCAAACAAAACCTACCAAAAGGCCAAAAAGAGCCATAATCCAAAAAAACCAAAAGATGCAGGACCTAAACACAACCCAAACATGACCAAATTCCATAAGCCCATGCTCCAACGGACCCACTCGATACCCAAAAATCAGACAAAGTTAAGTCGAAACAGAACCATCCAAAACTTGAGCAGAAAACAGAACCATCCAAAACTCGAGCAGAAAACATAACCAAAGCAATTCTTTACTGTTTTAACTTTAACATTTGGTTATTATTTAGGTACTTTACTGGCTCTCCGGTCTTACTTGCAATGATGAGAACTTCATAAGTAAGTCCGGTGCCCAGCGAGTTGCTTCAACTGAAGGTATGGCGTTGGTTGTTCCTATGTATAAGATATTATATTATATTACTATATGCAAATGCTCATACCCTAACTATCTTTCTATGTATAAGATAGTGGTTTAGTTTTGTTAATGGAGCCTGACATCTTTC